CTCCATACCACACCCTTGACCTCGGACTAGAATCGGGCTACGCCGCATGGTAACCCCCCGGGACCAGCGAAGATAGCTTAGAAGTTAGCTGCACATTTTGTCTCATAACTTCCTTCCTAGGAAAGCTAAATACTTACATTACAAAAAAGAAAGAAAATGAATGCTCAGAGTGTGGTGCACCAGTGGTCTACACTGACTGCCAGTGTCTCAGACAATGAGACAGTCCCAATCCTACTAGAAGGTGCCAAGGATAGAACCTTCTACCTGCAAAGCAGATGCTTGAACACTGAGCAACAGTCCTTCAGTTTAGTCATGTACCCACAATCATGTCTCCCTCCCCAAGTCTCCAAATTGTAAAAAAAACAAAAAAAAGGGAAATGGATAAGCACTACCTTCACTTCTTTCTTCTTCCTCTTTGTATAAAATAATATTTTATTTAGAGTTCAACAATAACAAGGGGGGGGCCCACAATAACTATCACATCAATTTATTACAATTGACCAACTTTAATAATAAATAAACAATAGTTGAAGAATTACAAAACATCACTTTTAACTTACTCGAGTTTTCATATTTAAGTTTTATCTCTTTATTTTTTTTTAGCAGGTCGAAGAAGAAAAGACCAAAGAAAGAGGTACAAAAAAGAGAAGAGAAAGAGAAGAAAACAAAATATAATAAACACATCTGACTTCCGATTAGATGCATTGTGTTATTATTTCTTCTAATTTTTCACACACAGTTCCAAATTATTGTATTGCTTTCTTTGTTTTCCTCAGATACCAAAAAAATTATATTTGTAGTTTTACAAGGATCATTCTATTTCTTCCAGGAGATATTTATTATTATAATACTTTTCCAGGTACTCTTTAACATTTTCCCATTTTTTCTATACTGCCTTCACTTCTACCATGAGCCTTCACTTCTTCACTTGAGCCCAGAAGGGCGCAGAATATGATACATGAACTCCTTTGGGACCTTTCCCCCTTTGCAATCTTACGATTACAGTTCAAAAATAGTCATACTCAGAATAGACTCATTTACATTAATGGACATGATCGGAATAGACCTACTGAAGTTAATGGGCATGATTAAGTTCAATGAGTCTACTCTGAGTAAAACTTAGTTGGATGCCACGCAATGGATTTATTTTAAAATACGAAACAAAAAAAAATAGTTTTCTTAGCCAAGACAGGTTATAATCACCAGATGTGATACTTACGCTCCCAGAGAGGTGCTGAGTCCTTCTTTCAGGCTGATTCAGAGAAGATGAGCCAGAGGAACAATTCTCTAAGCCTTTTTTATGATCTCAGACCACAATAACTAATTTCACACCTTTGGACATAAACACATTTTGTACTAAACTAAAGCTTGTGTTTCACACCTGACTTTACCAATCTCTATAAATATCAACATGTCTTGAGCAGGGCATTCAATGTTCACTGGTGATGGGTTCAAATTCTTCATTCTTCATATTAATGGGGGTTATAATTGTATTTTGCTTATTTCCTTCCTTTTTTCAGATTTTGAGATCAGTAAATTAAATGTACTGAAGGCTGCGGCTTGCTATGTTGGTTCTGCATTTCCTTCCTCAGCACCAGCACCTGCATAAGAAATACCCGTTCGTGTCTGTGGTGCGAAAACCACTTGTGATCTCTGCAGAAAAAAATCGTGCAGATTGCTATTCTAACTCCATGAAAACAGCTGCTCCTCTCTACTTGGACTACCTCCTAATTTCCCTTAAAGAATGGTCAGGGTGACTAACTTGTTTTGTGTCCCCACAGCAAAGAAGGGAACAAAGTCTTCCTCCCTGCTCTCAGGGCCTTGGGTCTGTGAACGAGACATGTCTGTTGTCACCTCACCTGTTCAGCATTTAGCATGACATGCACGTTCCACCTATAGGGCACCCAAAAAAACACACAAAGCAAACGCGGTGTAGGGTGACAAACAGTGTTGTTACCCTGTAAAGCCACAAGAATCTCCCCACAAGATCTAGCTCAGACTAGAAGACAGATTAAACCAAATGAAAATGCCACTCCGAACATAATACTCCCTACAACATGAGGGCGGCCATCTGTCATGGATGCTTTCACTGAGATTCCTGCATTGCAGGGGGTTGGACTAGATGACCCTTGGGGTCCCTTACAGCTCTACAATTCTATGATTCCATGTGGAAGGCAAAAATGAAGAGTCCCAAGCCAATCGGGGGCTATCCAAAATATTCCTACACAACCCCTTTAAAAGGTAAAGGTAAGGTAAAGGACCCCTGAGTTGAGTCCATTCGCAAACGACTCTGGGTTTGCGGCGCTCATCTCGCTCTATAGGCTGAGGGAGCCAGCGTTTGTCCACAGACAGCTTCCGGGTCATGTGGCCAGCATGACTAAGCCGCTTCTGGCGAACCAGAGCAGCGCACGGAAACACCATTTACCTTCCCGCCGGAGCTGTACCTATTTATCTACTTGCACTTTGATGTGCTTTCGAACTGCTAGGTTGGCAGGAGCTGGGACCGAGCAATGGGAGCTCACCCCCGTCATGGGGATTCAAACCGCAAACCTTCTGATCGGCAAGCCCAAGGCTCAGTGGTTTACACCACAGCACCACCGCATCCTAATAGAGCCCATACTGTTGAAGGATGGAGGGAGGGCACCAAAGGAAAAAGGGGGGAAAGGTTGGGGAGGAGCAGGCTTATAAACCAAGCCATCCCCATTGACAATTGGCCAAGGCTTTACCCATGCCACCCCTAGCTCCTCCCCAGGACAAACCACTTAAGTCATCTTTTGGGGGGATTTCGGATATGGCTAACTCATCCCTACCATAGAGTGGAAGTAGAATTTCTTCCTCATCCCCTCTTGTGTTGTGATTGTTAAGCCTGTCGATTAGGACCGCCTTAAAAAATAATAATTGTATAGCACTGAAAAACTATACCTGCTTTATAAACTCTTGTTCTTAGCAATAATGAATGCAGGTGCTACAAAGTTTAACAATGAATGAATGTGCAGCGGAATGCAAAACTCTTTAAGTACAGAGATTTGATTTACTGAAATTGGGATTGCTTAAATGCATTACTGTGCATTTAATTCTGAAATGTTCCCAGGTAACTCTTGTGTGTTTGGTTAACTTTAGTCACATGGGAGGTACCTTATTACATTCTCCATTTTGTTTTGTGTGTAAGTGACTTCTAATGGTTGCATCTCCAGGAACACCAAAGAAGAGACAGTGTTAGATAACTCTCTTTCTAAACGCAATAGAGCCGAGTGCTAATTTTACCCTGTGAAGTCCAGAAGTCCAGTCAGGAGAAGCCTGCTGGGAGAAAAAAGCGGAAACCTCTCATAAGGAACTACATCGGCTGTGGTGAGGACTGCAGGGCCTGCTCCCTTACAAGGTCTGTCTCGCCAGAGTGGTGCATGCTCTCCCGCTTGGACTACTGCAATGTGCTCTATGTGGGGCTACCTTTGAAGGTGACCCGGAAACTACAACTAATCCAGAATGCGGCAGCTAGACTGGTGACTGGTGGCGCCCACCGAGACCGCATAACACTGGTCTTGAAAGACCTACATTGGCTCCCAGTATGTTTCCGAGCACAATTCAAAGTGTTGGCGCTGACCTTTAAAGCCCTAAACAGCCTTGGCCCAGTATACCTGAAGAAGCGTCTCCACCCCCATCATTCTGCCCGGATGCTGAGGTCCAGTGCCGACGGCCTTCTGGCGGTTCCCTCACTGCAAGAAGCAAAGTTACAGGGAACCAGGCAGAGGGCCTTCTCAGTAGTGGTGCCCGCCCTGTGGAACACCCTCCCATCAGATGTCAAAGAGATAAACAGGTACCTGACATTTAGAAGACATCTGAAGGCAGCCCTGTTCTGGGAAGTTTTTAATGTGTGGCATTTTAATGTATTTTTAATCTTTGTTGGAAGCCGCCAGAGTGGCTGGAGAAACCCAGCCAGATGGGTGGGGTACAAATAATAAGTTGTTGTTGTTGTTGTTGTTGTTGTTGTTGTTGTTGTTGTTGTTGTTACATGGCCGAGCTGGGTAACATATCCAGAAGACTGAGTGCAAGTACAGTTGTACCTTTGGTTAAGAACCTAATTCATTCTGGAAGTCCGTTCTTAACCTGAAACTGTTCTTAACCTGAAGCACCACTTTAGCTAATGGGGCCTCCCACTGCTGCCACGCCACCACTGCACGATTTCTGTTCTCATCCTGAAGCAAAGTTCTTAACCCAAGGTACTATTTCTAGGTTAGCGGAGCCTGTAACCTGAAGTGCCTGTAACCTGCAGCGCCTGTAAACCGAGGTACCACTGTACTGGAAAGGGGGGCGGGGGGCGCTTAGCACCCTGCTCCCCAAGCCTGTGCCGGCACTCTGCTCCAAATATAAGTCACACTTTAACTTTTCACAGTCAGAATGGGGGGGGGGGGAGTGTGGCTTATATTCCGGCCAATGTGGTAAATGTAAATACTTTGCAGATATTCTTATTTAGCTATATGTTCTCCAAGTAAAAGCTTTTGAATACCTTGACGAGTGTTTGGACATTACTTTAATTTCAAGAAAAGAGTCAGTTCTGCATGGGATTGGGCTTCCTAGCTGCAAATTAGCTACTCTGCCAACAAAATCTACATATGTGTAAAGCAGGAATACCCCAGTGTAACAACTAGAGCTTGTTTACCTTTATTGAATAAATGGGAAAGCAAAGCACAGGCGTTTTCTGAGTCGACACCCACATCTTTAATATACAGTCAACGTCTGTAACCTCAAGATGTCGCTGCTCTGCAGTGCCCTTCAGCCTTAGCCTGTATGGGCAATAGTGTGTATTGACAACCATATCTTTTATCGGCAGCCAACATGGTGCATCCAAGTTGTTATTGCTGAGTTCCAGCTCCTTTCAGCCCTTCAGCCCAACAATATCTAGAGGGAGGGCACCTCACTGTTACTCCTAATCTATTGTAATTATTGAGGTGGGGATATAGCTGTTCATAGAAACGGCTGCTTTTCTCTCTATGGCAGCTTCTTCAAGGAGATGCTAGATTATTCCATTGAACTGGCATCATCTGCATGCTGCTGCCATCATTCAGGTGGCTGGACTCTTCGCCAGCATTTGTATCCTCTATCGGCATGATGAAACCTTTCTTCAGCAAAACAATAGTGGATGTCCTGAAAACCTGCTTGAATTTCTCCCCAACGAAGAGATAGAGAATTGGGGTGAGGCAGATATTCAAACAGAGGCTAATGCTGAAAATGATCCGCAGGACTTCTACTGTTTTTCTCTGGTCTTTATGAAACAGCAAGAGAGCATAATAGAGGTAGAACGGAAGCCTGAAGATGAAGAAGCATGCCACAGAAACCAAAAGGACTTGGAAAGGCTTCCCAGCCTTCCTCGCCAGTTTTTTCTTCTTTATTTCCTGACACATCCAATGATAGCAGCCCACAATAATGAAGAAGGGGAACAAGAAGGTGAGCAGAAGCCGAACCAAAAAGACTGCCAAATCAATTTTGTAGTGCAGAGCCTCTGCTTTGTCCTTATCCTCAGTGATAAAGAAAGCAAAATTTTTCTCACAAACCTCTTTTTTGTCACCTTGAATCACATAGGAAACCAGATAGGGAATGGACATGACCACGGAAAGGGTCCATACTCCTGCAAGCACTCTCCTTGCTTGGGGTTTTGTGCGGTTCCGTCGGGACCAAACCGGATGGCAGGTTATCAAGTAGCGGTCCAGGCTGATGATGGTGAGCAAAAAGACTGGGGTGAGCATACCTACAGCGATGCAGAAGTTGACCGCCCTGCACAAGAATGGGCCAAAGACCCAGCGGAAATTGAGGACATCCTGGACAACAAAAAAAGGCAGACAGGAACAAGAAACCAAGTAGGACAGAGTGAGGTGGAGGAACCAGATGGTATTCACTGTCCTCTTCATCTTCACACAGAGTAACCAGAAGATGTGCCCATTCATGGCTGTGCCCACCAGGAAGGATACCAAGATGATGCTAGCAAGGCCCCAACGCAGGGGAGTTTCATCTGTTGGGTCAACTTGGCTGAGGTTCATTTCTGTTGGTCTGGCCATGTTGCCTTTTTCCATGAGATCCTGGAAGAAGATGGGGAAGAGAGGCAGATGAACCAAAGAAGAAATGTAAGAAAGAAAAGAATACAAAATGCAAAGAGGCTGAGAACTTCTGGGGTGTCAGTGAAGCTCAGATGCTGACAGGGAGAGAACAGTTAGCAATGGAAAGCAGAGAGGAGGGGGAGAGCAGCTGTAATCTGAGCTCTGAACAAAGGGGAGGGGGAAAACAGGACCAGAGGGACAGACAGCTGTGTGAGAGCTCCGATAGTGAGCCAGATGTTGGAATGCAGAAAATATTCTCTCCCAAATCTCGTAAGATCTCAAAAGTGGCTGAGACACGTGAAAGATACCGGAAGAGAAGGTGGGGGCTTCTATGCTGGGGAAGGGGGAGGAGCTCAGTCTGGGCTCTGTCCTAGTTTGTTGTTTTAACAATAAATCTGAAATAACTAACAGCCAGAGTCGTCTCACATTTGTGGGAGAGACCAAGCCATAACATGGAGATATCTGGAGAAACAACTGGTTCCACTGCACTTCTAAGCTAATGGACTTCACATTCTAAGCTCAAAATAAGATAGTAATTTTGATGCTCTTTAGAACCAACCAATAGTCTCAAGACACCTTAAACCAGAGGTGTGGGAATCTTTTCAGCCTCAGGACTGCATTCCCTTCTGGGCAACTTTCCAAGAGCCATGTGAGTGTTGGCCAGGGCCAAAGGCACAAGTGTGTGGAAAAACAGGTGCTAATTATACTTTTGTGCAGTAAGCACACACACTCACACACCTTTCACTATGCTCCTTACAGGCAGGCAAGAGGTCTTATATCCTGCCCTTCCATCCAAAGGAGACGAAAGGGTGGCAAAGTTCAAGGACACATTCCAGCCAGGAAAAAATACCTGAGGTGTGAAGTAGGACCAGTGAGGGGTGGCCTGGGGAGAGTTCCAAGGGCCCCATAGAGATGCCTGGAGGTCCACAGGGGGCCTGAAGAGCCCTGCTCCTACATATATAGGGGAGCTTTCCTAACAACTCTCAGCAACCTTAAGCAAACATTTCTCAGGATGCTTTGAGGGGAGCCATGGCTATTTAAAGCAGTATGATATTGCACTGGTCATGCTGGTTGGGCCTGATGGGGGGAGCTGGGTTCTCACAACATCCCACAACATCTGGAGGGCCATGGGTTTCCCATCCCTGTAGCAAAGTTTCTCCCCCTCCCCCGAGGGATGAAATCCTAGAATGCTAAATCATCTGCAATTCAGATCTCTAGCCAACAGACCCTCATATTACCTGCAACACTGATGTCCTCTCTTCCACTTTTCTGTATCTCAAGTTGGGAACAGAGTCTAGGAGAGCTGCCTGGAAGCAGATTTATTGCACCGCGGAAGTGTGCTGGACAGGCAGAAAAGTTCACACAAACACTCCACAAACTGTCCTATCTGCTGAGTATGCCTCACTCACCTGACGCATCAATCCGCTGTTCTAAAAAGGCTGGTCCTCAAAGCTTTCTGCTGTCCTGTTCTGCTTTCAAAGATGAAATGATAAAGGCATTGTAGGGTGCAATGTCTTTAAGTTGTGAAATATGAAGCACCGATTTATCTTAAAAATGAATTCTCTGTAACTACTAGCATTGCGTCATGCTTAGTTTCCTGAATGAACTCCTTCACTCCTCTGACTTCAAGGAACAGCCATGTGCTTTCTTCTGATAATATTCTGCGAAAACAGAGACACTGTCAGCCCATTTGGATTGTGGGGGGAAACCCACCAACCACTGGGAGGTGAACTGCAAAGAGTGAACATAATGTGATTCTGCATGGATTGCAATATGGGGAAATTCTAGTTAGTGGAGGAAACATCATAATTGAGACACAATCCTGCCCATCACTAAAATATGGAAGGCCAGATAGGAGGAGCACTGTGAATGGACAAGCCTGTAAATTGTGAGGAATGAAATTCCTCTCCATCTGGTGTGTTTTTCTGTTAATTATATGAAAACTCCCTGCAGGCTTGGGCAAAATGGTTGATGAGTAGGGCTTCTTCGGAGTGCGCTGTCAAGTCTACGTCATCTGCAAACATCTCTTGGATAAGAACCCGCCACACTTTTCAACTTGATATTCAACTACATTATGCTTAATTTCATTCATAACGGGGGCTGTAGAATGACACAACAATGAACATCATCAGACATGTCCCCATTCCCCCCTCCATTTCTAGGCATTTGCACTTCATAAGTAAATTATAAATAAGTAAATGATCTAGCTCTGCCTACACTGACATTCCAGGCATTCAGAGAGGGGTCCCTCCCTTCTCTACTTGGAGATGGTGGAAATTGAACTTGGTGCATTCTGCACTCAGAGCCTGTGCTCTTTCACTGGGTTATGGCTTTCACTGTGACTATCTGAATGCCACATTAAAGGAGAAGTGTGAGGAATCAGTGAATAGTTTGGTTATGGAACTCACTGTCGGAATCTCCACTCAGCCAAGCTGATTTTCTTCCCCCGAGTCCTTTGGAATCGCCTCCCGACGTGTTTAATGACCTGAGCCTTTGATGAGGCTCCAAGGCATGTTCCATTCAGCAGAGTTTCCAGCACAGGAAAGAAACGAGAGGTTTGGGCTACATTGCAAAGAGTTTTATTATCCTAACTATGCAGACAAAAAACACATCCTGTCTCTATGAAAGCAGAGAGCAACCGGAACAAAGGAACAAAGGAAACAGGAAACCAGTAACGTCACATCCTTCTCTAGTCTCCCGTGAGACTTCCAATAGCCTGGACTGTCTCTGGAATGTAAACAGAGTCCTGTGACTCCAAGCAGCTGCTCAGTGGCAAAACAGAAACTAACACTCACCCCCATAGAAGGCAGTACTGGCCGTCATACTTTAGATGACTATAAAACCAAATTAGACAAATCCATGGAGGAGAGGGCTACTAGCCATGATGGCTACCCTCTGCCTCCACAGTTGGAGGCAGTAATGCATCTGAATCCCGGTAGCTGGGAGCCACAGCAGGATTGAATGTTCTTGTGCTCAAATCCTACTTGCAGGTTTCCTGTCCACTGTGAGAACAGGATGCGGGACTAGATGGGCCATCAGCCTGATCCAGCTGACCCATCTTGTTAAGTTGTGGGTGATCATATCAGACGACACAGCGATTCTTCAAACAGCTCTTGTTTATTCAGAGGCCAGAACAGAACTGAGCTGAAGGGCTCAGTCAGCCTGCTTATATAGAGCTCCAGTACAACTTTACTGTAGCAACTTTCTAAAACTATCCAATCACTGAATGTCACTTTCGATCCTTCATTTGCATAACTATCTACAGTGTCCCCCTGCTGGCCCAGGGTGAGAACTTCAGTACATAACACATCTTATGTTCTTGTGACTCTCTGGTGGGCCCCGGAAGTATGTGACAGCTGGAAACTGGGACTGAACGAGCCAAGAACCACCAACAGGCTTTACAAAGCTCTTTGCAGTTTTTGCTGCAAGCCTGCCACAGGCTAACATGGTGGCCTCTGCACAAGTTCTGTGGATTAAGGTTGGGAAATACCATGGGGCTGTAAACATGCAAGATGGCCACCGCCCAAAGGCAAGTGGTTTGTTGATGGAGATTAGGAAACAGGGGAGGAAGGGTGGGAGAAGTAAGTACTGATAGTGAAGAATCAGAGGTCCATCTAAAAAGATATATAAACAACAACTACACACAGCACTAATAATGGTTTTCTTCTAATATAAACCTAGATTGAATAAAAATACCTTAATATGGGCAGAGCATACAGTAAAATGCTGATCATAACAAGTATACTTAATTGCTGGAAACTGAACTTCTATACTGTGATAATTTTTTATTGTGCCTGCTTGTTTTTAGCTCTGATTCCCCCTCCTTGTGGTATTTTATTATTAATGTTATATGGAAATTGCTTTTTGATTTAAACACTATACAATTTTTGCTCGATAAATAAATAGTCATCCAACAATATGACCCAATAGGAGATCATAAGGAAAAAAGTTTGCATAAACTGTAGGAAACATATTGCGCACGCTCGCTCTGTGTGTGTGATATTTATTTGATTTTTCAGATTAAATTTTTACAATCACATATCCAACATACAACATAAAAACAAGATTCCAAGGAATCTCCTGGACTTCCCTCCTCCCCTTTGTGGGTCTTATTGTTAATAATTTCCTCCTGCATCTTATATGATAATCCAAACCTTTTACATCTCCATTGTGTCCAAAATCCACCATTAAGCTACACGTGCTATTCCAATTCTACTAACGATTTTAGTTTTTTACAATGGTTTTCCCCCATTCCTCATTAAAATTTTGGTCTTCCTGATTTCTGATTCTTTCGGTCATTTTACATATTGCTGTATATATACAGCCCAGGATAGATTCTGCATCCAGGATGGAGAACCTGTAGAACTCCAGATGTTGTTGGATTACAACCCCTGTAATCCATGACAACTGGCCATGATGGCTAGAGCTGATGGGAGATGGAATCCAACAACACTTGGAAGGCCACAGATTCCCCCTTTGCTGTTCTATAGGGAGATGGCAGATCACCTTCAATTGAATCTGCTCTTGCTGTTGGTCTCTTGCTGTTGCTCGTTCTCACCAATGCGGTTGTTATCTCCATGTATCTTGGGATCTTCCACAAAATCTTCCCTCAGCAGATCAATAATAGACATGATGAAGACCCGCTAGAATATTCTCCCCAGCAAAGAGATAAAGAATGGGGGCAAAACGGATGTTGCAACAAACTCCAAGGGCAGTAATTAGTCAAAAAAACCACTTTCACAACTTCAGGCATCCCCTTGAGCAACTTGGAAACTTCATAGCGATGGCAAGGGAGATAACAGATGAAGAATGACACCACAGCAACTACCAGGACTCTGTAAGGTTTTCCATTCCTCACTAACTTTTTCTTTTTCATGTCCCAACCCATCCAGAAATAGAAGCCCATTATGATGAAGAAGGGAAGCGGGAAAGCCAGCAGGAACCAAAGCAGAAAGAAAGCTCATGGAGATCCACCGGAGGAAATACAAATGATCCAATGTCCTTCTCCGCCTTTTGAGTTTCCCAGAAATCCTATGCTCAGGTTGTTTATATGTGAATATAGAAACTGTATATCCTAAAGCAGGCATAGGCAAACTCGGCCCTCCAGATGTTTTGGGACTACAACTCCCATCATCCCTAGCTAACAGGACCAGTGGTTAGGGATGATGGGAGTTGTAGTCCCAAAACATCTGGAAGGCCGAGTTTGCCTATGCCTGTCCTAATGGCACCACAATCTCTACTGACCTTCATTCCAAGGAAACCAAACCCTGGAGAAGCACTTAGAACCCCCAGAATCTCTCACTGCTTGGAGATCGTAATGGCATGTAACAATAGTAATTGGGCAAAACTCTTGTCTATTATACAGTCATACCTCATGTTGCGTTCGCTTCAGGTTACATGTTTTTGTGTTGTGTCCCACAGCAACCCGGAAGTACCAGAATGGGTTACTTCCGGGTTTTACTGCTTGCGCATGCACAGAAGAGCTAAATTGTGCCGCATGTGTGCACAGGCGCGGCACTTCAGCTCGCATCAGTTTCGTGTTACAGACGGGCCTCCAGAACAGATCCGGTCCGTAACACGAGGTTCCACTGTATGGGCTAGAGCAGAGTTCTTCAGTGTTAGGTCCCCAGAAGTTGTAGGACTCCATTTCCCATAATCCCCAGCCACTGGTTGGGAAGATAATGGGAGTCAGAGTCCCAAAACATCTGAGGATGGAAAGCCCCCTGGACCTACCTGATTAGATTGATTCGTACCTGATCCAACCTGATTTGGACACAGAATCCAAACTGAAATCCAGAAACCCACATCTTCTGTAGTTCCACTCATTTGCACTGCCAGATGCATTTGCCCTTTTTCTTTTCTTACCTGGATAAAATTTGGATATATGGTAGCCCTCAAGAAGGGTTTAAGCCTGCCAAATATCATACAGGTCAGTCCAGAGGTTTTTGTGCTAGACAACTTTAAAGATTGCTTTTTTCAAAATGTAAGAGAGAGGGACAAAGAGACCGTGCAGTTGCTTGAGTGCTAAATCCTGCCAGTTCTTGTGCACCTGTCTGGTCTGTTCCATGAAGATTTTAAAAAACAAAACCAAGCTTTATGGTTTAGGTGCACAGTATTTGTATGGTGATCGTTTGCTGGCTGTTCCTGCGCATAATTTAATGGGCTGTGTGGGTTTGTGCAAGACTTCCTGATGCATTTACACACACATGATAAAGCACTAACAAAGGCAAGACGCATAAGTCAGAATAGAATTGTAAATAAAATGCAAAACTAAATCATCATCATCATCATCAACATCATCATCATCATCTAAAGCCAAAATGCAGCAGGCAGGGGGCAGGGAGAGATTGGGGAAATGACATTGCTAACTAGACTGATTGGGAAATGATTGGGAAGCTGTCACGCGGGTACTGCTGTA